CCACATTCCCAGCCCCTGCTATTGCTTTTCTAACAGTTGGTTTGATTAGATCAGAATGGAAGCAGAATCCACACACAGTATTTAGCTGATTTCTACATCTCTTAAATCCATAGGTTTCCTCTTCTCTTCTTTCTCCTTATAACTTGTTGGTGAAGAAAACAGGTTGTTCTATAGGGTTCCCCACTCTAACCCACATTTTCCCAGTTGCATTCAGATGTTGAACACATTCCTCGTCCCCTGCACTCTGCATACTGGTGGTTAGAGCTGGAGGCTTGGTAAGAGTCGGGTGGAATCTTTCGGCAAGAAGACGTATAATAGACAGTTTTTGTGAAACACATGGTTGCTTCCCTGTGGTGTTAAGACTGTCACTGGGTTGCAGCATTCCAGGCTGGAGCTCATAAAATTCCAGCCCCTATGCACGGAAAGCCTTTAGCAGCCACTGAAGCTGCCTACATGCACCCTGCTTTAGGAGATGCTAGGATATTTGTGTAAACTTTCATAAATTTCTATGACCTTTCTCTCAGCTGCTTGGTTATCCTAAAGAACTGTCATCCAAAAAAGATTTTGAGATAAATGCTTGATTTTTCCTTTTATTTACCAATTTTCAGGACATGAACTGATTCCTTAGCATCCTCCAAAGATGATGATGGTTTCTTTTCCCTTTAAATCATTGAACATTTTGGTTGGGGGTGGTGATGGCGCACGCCTATAATCCCAGCAGCTCAGGAGGTTGAGACAGGAGGATCACAAATTCAAAGCCAGCCTCAGCAAAAGTGAGATGCTAACTCAGTAAGACCCTGTTTCTAAATTAAATACATAAAAGGGCTGGGGATGTGGCTCAGGGGTTGAATGTCCCTGAGTTCAAGCCCTAATACAAAAAAAAAGGTATACCTTTTAACATATTTGATATATGCCAATCTATTGTGATCGTTATCATTATTATTACTATTTATTTAATTTTTTGTAGTGCTGAGGATCAAATCCATAGCCTTGTGCAAGTGCTCTACCACTGAGCTCTACTCTAGTCTTGTTATTCTTCTTGATGTTCAGAGTATTTGGTCTTTGGCCAGTGGAGCCTTTTCACCTTATCTCCTTGATCCTTTGGTTATGCTCTAATACTTGAAAAGATGCTATAAGCTTACCTGGTACATTTCTTTCCCCAACCTGGAATCAGTCATTTTCCCAAAGAGCTAGAAATGGTATTGAGAGACTACCACCTGTGTGGCTAAGGAATTCTCATATTGCTATGGGTTAGTCATTGTTTTCCAGATGGACCAAACTGGGAAAAAACCAAAACCACTTATATTGGTATTCTCAATTCAAATTTAAGTTTAATAAGATTTGTACTTTTAAATAGCTTTATTAAGATATAATTCACAGCATAAAATTCAAGTTTACTTAAACTTTTTTTTTTTTTTGGTACCAGGATTAAACTCAGGGGTACTTGACCACTGAGCCACATACCCAATTTTGAATTTTACTCAAGAGACAGGGTCTCTCTCACTGAGTTGCACAGTGCCTCGATTTTGCTGAGGCTGGCTTTGAACTCAAGATCCTCCTGCCTTAATCTCCGAGCCACTCCAGGGATTACAGGTGTGTGACACTGCACCTGACTTACTTAACATTTTTTGATTTTATATTTGTATCTTTTTCTTAAGCTGAT